TCAAAGAATGTACTTTAAATAAAAAAATATCCTGACTAAAAAATTAAGGGCTCTGTCAGCAGATTTTAGCATAGGTAAGACTATGGCGGACATAAAGATATACCGGTCTTCTATAAATAAAAAGAAAATTTTTCTGAACTTTCATATACAGATTTAATCAACTTATTTTAATTAAAAGAAAAATAAATTATCTTAAAAATGGTTAATAAGGTTCTAGGACTAATTTTAAGCAAGATATGGTTTTACGCAAGAGTTAAACGGGACAAATCTTTTGAAAATCCTTTTAAAATTATAACAATTTGGTCGGTTCTTATTCTTCTCTATCTGAAACCAGCCTGAGAAACCTGAGAAGAGAAGTGGCGTTTGCATTTATATTAAATAGCCGTCTTGCGTTTTTCATTCAATACAGGCTACTTTAAACTGTATGCCTCTTTAACTATTTTTTCATTTTTTCAATGATTCTATCCTTACTTTCCATTGCATTTTTTCCAGTTCCATTCTCTATCAAGTATCGGAATCATGGATCTTGATCAGTCTGCTGGAAAGAGATGTATAGATGGGAGATTCTGTCGTAAAGAAAAACAGATGACTAATAATGTTTTGAATTACTTTGCAAAAACCATTTATATAAATATAACTGCAAAAGATCAGCAGTTATTACTTGATAGGGTGAATAGCATAGGTAAAAAATATGGCCTCAAAATCAACATTTTGATAACGAAATATATGGTCATTAGCAGAAACCCTCCAGAAAACCCGATATTATGCATAGATGACAATCGTATAAATCGCGTGAAAACTTTTAAATACCTTGGCACCACAATCAATGACCAATCGGATCCACAACACGAGATAAAAACCCGAATACAAATGGCAAGACAAGCTTTTGTGAAATTCAGACCGCTCCTATGTAATCAACACCTAAACTTCGAAATACGCTACAGAATGGTCAAGTGCTACATATGGTCCATCTTGCTTTATGGCATGGAAACGTGGACTTTGAAAAAAACATCTATCAACAAACTTGAAGCATTTGAAATGTGGTCATTGAGAAGAATGATGCGCATACCTTGGGTGGATAGAGTTCGAAACGATGACGTCCTTAATAGAGCCGGCGTGGAAAGAGAACTCTTTGAATTAATTAAAAAACGCAAGATTGGTTACCTTGGGCACATATTGAGAGGAGCAAAATATGAAATACCACAGTTAATCCTACAAGGGAAGATCGAAGGTAGGAGAGGAGCCGGCCGCAAACAATTGTCCTGGTTAAGGAATATTAAAGAATGGACAGGAATACACAATACAGGTGAGCTGTGTCACGCCGCCAAGAACAGAATTCTAGTAATGAGATAGTCGCCTACGCACTTTGGTGTATGGCATGTTAAGAAGAAGAAGAAATATTGCTGTGGCAGAAGGAAACAAAATATTCTGTTGCGCAGAATGTAGCGTATATGCTGTAAAAAAAAGAGAAAAGGACAGTGGCCAATTTCCACGTCACAATAGACCTAACAAAATCAAGTAAATTCGAAAAATAGTGGTATAAAAACTTATTTTTCTGGCATCATTCTATCATCGTCAAATAGTTTCCTTATGTATTCATGCCAAAATCTTAGTTTAACTTTTATGTCTGCAATGAGTTTACCATTATCATCTTTGATTATCCCTAGGGTGCTTGCTTTTTGGTATTTGTTAGTTATTTTATTTCGTTAGTATTTCTTCGTGTTAGTAAGACCGTAGATAAGTGTATTGACATCAAAGAATGTACTTTAAATAAAAAAATATCCTGACTAAAAAATTAAGGGCTCTGTCAGCAGATTTTATCATAGGTAAGACTATGGCGGACATAAAGATATACCGGTCTTCTATAAATAAAAAGAAAATTTTTCTGAACTTTCATATACAGATTTAATCAACTTATTTTAATTAAAAGAAAAATAAATTATCTTAAAAATGGTTAATAAGGTTCTAGGACTAATTTTAAGCAAGATATGGTTTTACGCAAGAGTTAAACGGGACAAATCTTTTGAAAATCCTTTTAAAATTATAACAATTTGGTCGGTTCTTATTCTTCTCTATCTGAAACCAGCCTGGTATTTTCCTATTATCGAGGTAGATCCTACTTCTTATAATTTTTAGTAATAGTTTATAATTATAGTAGTATATTATACTACTTCTAATATTGCAATTATGTCCTTTTTTATGATGTTGAATCGTGGACCTTGAACGAAGATATGTGCAAAAAACTAGAAACATTTGAGATGTAACTATATCGGAGAATAGATTCCGTGGACTGACCAAGTCACAAATGTTTCAGCAGAATGAATAAGAACCGAGAGGTTGCAATCGGATATATGCGATTGCTGGATTTCTGGCGATATTTTATACTGCTATTCTGTCACAATTTGCTTACGTAATGTCCAGTGTTCACCCAAGATTTATCGGTATATTATATACGTATAACGACCTAAAAAATGCAAAATAAATAAAAGACACATATACAATAACAAAATAGAAACAAAAAAACTTGACTATTCTGTCTTCATCTGTTTATATTTAATAAATATATTCTTAATCTAATTACGTCCTCTCGTAAAAGCAAAATGATTTTTCATTTAACTTCCTTACACCTAAAGCCAATATCATGTATATATGTAAAGTTACACGTGTAAAAGTGGAAAGTTTTTCGTCATTATTCATTGAAATGATGATCAAATTAAATATATATGTAAAACACTTAAAATAAAATTTTCGTGCATTTTACATTTAATCAATATCATAAGTTTTCATACCACTATTTTTCGAATTGACTTGATTTTGTGAGGTCTATTGTGACGTGGAAATTGGCCACTTTCCATTTCTCTTTTTTTACAGCATATACGCTACATTCTGCGCAACAGAATGTTTTGTTTCCTTCTGCCACAGCAGTATTTATATAAATAGTTTTTGCAAAGTAATTCAAAACATTATTAGTCATCTGTTTTTCTTTACGACAGAATCTCCCATCTATACATTTTTTTCCAGCAGACTGATCAAGATCCATGATTCCGATACTTGATAGAGAATGGAACTGGAAAAAATGCAATGTAAAGTAAGGATATAATCATTGAAAAAATGCAAAAAGTAGTTAAAGAAGCTTATAGTTTATAATATCCTGTATTGAATGAAAAACGCAAGACGGCTATTTAATATAAATGCAAACGCCACTTCTCTTCTCCACTCCATCCTATATTCTTAAGAACAATTAAATACATAATATTTGCTGCTAATCATTCAAAATTTTTTGCAGTTTTTGTTTTAATATTCTAAATGTTTACACATACTACATATTTATGTATATGAAGGTTCAGGAAAATTTTCTTTTTATTTATAGAAGACCGTTATATATTCATGTCCACCATAGTCTGACCTATGCTAAGATCTGCTAACAGAGCCCTTAATTTATTAGTCAGGAAAAGTTTTTATTTAAAGTACATTTTTTAATGTCAATACACCTATCTACGATCTTACTAACACGAAGAAATACTAACGAAATAAAATAACTAACAAATACCAAAAAGCCAGCACACTAGGGATACTCAAAGATGATAATGGTAAACTCATTGCAGACATTAAAGATAAACTAAGATTTTGGCATGAATACATAAGGAAACTATTCGACGATGATAGAATGGTGCAAGAAAAACCACAGGAACAAACAGGACCAAAAATAATAATATGTAAATTAGAACAGGCAAATAGAACTGCAAAGACCGCAAAGTCAGTAGGCCCAGATTAGATACCCACAGAGCTAATTAAACTAATTAAATGCATTGGCAAAGAAACACTGCATATACTTTAAGATATGTTCAACAAAATATATACAACAGGAGTAATACCCCAATATTGGTTGCTGTCCACGTTTGTAACACTACCAAAGTCAGTACATGCGACAGAATGCTCCCAGTACAGAACAATTTCCTTAAAAAGCCACACACTTAAGATATTTCTTAAAATAATACATGGAACACTATACAAAAAAATAGAAGAAGATATAGGTGACACTCAGTTTGGATTCAGAGGAGGACTAGGAACGACAGGGGTTCTGTCCAGACAGAGTTTTGTTCATGATCGATACTTTTACCGTCCACACTTCTGCACTGTATAAAAGTGCAGACCAAACATAGCACTTAACCATTCTTTGCCTTAGTTCTAAACTAAGATGGTTATTGCAAAGAAATAACTTCATTTTCATAAAAGTAGTTTTAGTCATTGCTATTCTACGTTTTATTTCTATGTCTGGATCTAGTTGGTCCGTTATCACAGTTCCCAAATATATCATTTTGGGAACTTTCTCAACTTGGAATCCGTACAATTGAAGCTTTATAAAAATTATAATTAAAAAACTTATAATTACATAAATTAAAAACATACACAATATACTAATCTTCGTGTTATCCCCTAACATTAAATATCATTACTTGCTTAAATAAAATATTTTAAGGATATAAACTTCTAAGTTAACCTTAAGTTTCTCACCATCTTTCTCACTAAAATATAAAAATAATATAAGATCATTCGCATTGAAATGACAGTACCTTCCAGAAGCGTTAAAGGGTATAAATAAATTAATAATTGCATCGTGAAAAGTTAGGCACGACTATGATAAATTAGTAGTAGCAAATTAATGTGTACTGGATTATTTTGATCACACCCTTTCATATATTTCTTTTCAGTTTCATAAATCCGTCGATTTAAATGTTTTTTTTCAAGATTTTTGTATTTAACCTTAACCTAAATCTAAAATGTAAAATTACAAAAATGTTTCAGTATAACCCCTTGAAATTAATTTTTCTGGTTGAAAATAAAAAGGTAAATTTGTTTATTTGTAAGTTGGACCTAATTTGAAACAAAATGGTGTGTAGTCCTTATTAAAAAAACAGCTAACGATATATTAACAACATTACCAAAAATAAATACATTTGAACATTTAACACATTAACATTTTATTGATAGAATCTTACCTCCATTTATATGATCCATCGGGATTGGGTCCTTGTTGTGTTTGGCTTAAAATTCTAATATTTCGTCCATAGTTTTCTGGTCTGTAGTATTGCGCAGAAGCTAAGGCCAGAGACAACAATATAAATACCTGCCAATAAAAATGTTGTTAGTTTTATATTTAAAAATGGAGCATTATGTTTTTATTTAAGTTAATTCCTAGAATTATTACTATTACCACCGAAGTTTTACCACTATCGGGCAATAGATGTCGCTATCAGGCTATAACGATCTCGTTGCCCACTTGAATTTTTTAAGCAAGATCCTCATAGGCCACAATAAGATCAACATAGCGACACCGGATTAAAGAGTATTGAAAGAAAAAGAGGTATATTATAAGATTTTTTTTTGAACCTATTCTCTATCCTTCCATTGTTGGATATAGGTCTCCCCCAGTTCTCTCCATCTTTCCCTATCTTGAGCTGTTCTCTGCCATGTGGGACCTCCTTGTTTCCTGATGTCATCTTTCCACCTCATCTGTGGTCTGCCTCTTGATCTCTTTGCATTGTATGGACGCCACTTTCCGATGGCATTGTTCCATCGTCCGTCTTGGAGACGTTCATTGTGTCCAGCCCATTTCCATTTCAGTTTTGCTGCTTGTTCTATCGCGTCTACTGTCTTTGTTCTGGTTCTGATCCACTGGTTACGTTTTCTATCTCTAAGTGATACACCCAACATTTGTCTCTCCATCGCTCTTTGTGCCTTCCTTATCCTATCCAAATTGGCCTGTGTAAATGTCCATGTCTGTGCTCCGTAGGTGAGCACCGGTATGATACAGGAGTTATATACCTTGCTTCGTAAGTATAGAGGGATTGTTTGATTTTTTAGAACGTAAGAAAGTTTGCCGAACGCTGCCCATCCCATTCTTACTCGTCTCGATATTTCGGCTGTTTGATTTTCTCTATTAGCTCTGATTGCTTGTCCTAGATAGATATACTCATTTACCTGTTCTATTTTTTCTGTTTTTATTTTTATTGCCTCTTGGTCTTCCGTGTTTGTCATTACTTTTGTTTTGTTGAAGTTAATTTTTAGGCCTTTTTGCAGTGATTTTTCATGAAGTTCATTCAGCATTAATTCCAGTTCTTGTCGTTCCGAGGAGATCAGGAGTATATCATCCGCATATCTAAGGTGATTTAGGTATTTTCCGTTAATACATATTCCTCTGTTTTCCCAATCTGTTGATTTTATTATGTCTTCGAGGGTCAAGGTAAACAGTTTAGGTGAAATTATATCGCCTTGTCGGACTCCTCGTTTAACTTTTATATTATCCGTTATTAATTTGTCGTCCAGAATTACGGTCATGGTTGCGTTTTGGTAAATATCATGTATCAATTGTCGGTATCTTGAATCTATTCTACTATTGACCAGAGCTTCTTCAACCGCCCAGTGTTCAATGCTGTCGAAAGCCTTTTCATAATCTACGAATGCTAAGTACAGCGGAAGGTTGTATTCATTGGTTTTCTCAATTAAGATTTTAAGCGTATGTAGATGGTCGATTGTGCTGTATCCTTTTCTGAATCCGGCCTGTTCCACTGGTTGGTAGTTATCAAGTTTATAGGTTAGTCGGTTGTTTATTATTCTTGTGAAGGTTTTATATAGTTGTGACAAAAGGGAAATAGGACGGTAGTTGTTTAGGTCTGTTCGGTCTCCTTTCTTATGTATTAAGATTGTGTTGGCATTTCTCCATTGTTTGGGTATTTTACCTTCAAACAGACATTTGTTGAACAGTATTTTTAGCATTTTTTTTATCGTGTCTCCTCCTTCTTTTAGCAGTTCCGCCAGTATTTTGTCCTCACCGGCCGCTTTATTTCTTTTCATGTCGTTTATGGATTTTTCGATTTCATCTTCAGTTATTTCTGGTAATACCTTGTGAGCCAACATTTTGTATTTTCCTCGTGAGATTCTGTTTAGATGATGGTGGTGGGTCATTTTTAGAACCGTATAGGTCTGTGTAATATCTTTATGTGTTATCTTCTCTATGATTTTCTTAATGCGGTCTTCTTGGTATTTCTTTAAATCTTCCTTTATCTGTTTTCTTATGGTTTTATTCAGTTCGGTATACTCCACTGTATTTCTTTTGTTATCATTCAGTAGTTGTCGTCGTTTTTTAGCATATCTTGTGATTTAGCGCTAATTTTTGTTGTTTTCGCTTTTGTTTATTAGCAATTTTCAGGCCTGCTTCTAGTAGTTCTGTTGTTATTTTATCGTTTAATTCGTCTAGTTGCAGACCCTTTAGCTGTGATATGTCACTTTTAGCTGGTTTATGTATTGTTCTTTGCGTTCTTTAAGAAGTTCTGTATCTATCTCTTTTTTTTTGAGGAACTTTAAACTTAGTGGGAGACCTTCCAGTAAAATACCAACCAAAATCCATAAAAAAGATTAAACCCAAGCTACCAAGACCTTTTTTGGAGGTGGAATTTTTCCTTTTTCACCCTCTGTGTATCCCCTTCTGATACAGGTTCGGAGTTTTGACTCTGGCGATTTTGTAAATGATCGAGAACATTCTCTCCACACAAGTTCCAGTAAAAGTGATGCATCTTCACCGAAAAGGTAACAACATTTTAGTGGCTTGACCTTTGAGCAGTAGGATATGTGGCTTGTCTTTTTCTTAAATTTACTTTTTTAGTAGAACGTAGCAATAAATAACGTTTTTTTTTTATTCGTAAAGCCAATAACACATATTTAAATTCGTTTGTCAATAACAAGTTTGCAAAGAAAAGGAAAACGAAAAGGAAAAATAAGCCCACAACCAGATTAGCAACATTGAACATTACTTCTTTCAACATCAAAATCCAAGAGATAATAGAAGAACTAATAAAGAAAAACAGACATTTGTGCAATCCAAGAAACCAAGAAGAAAGGTAAAGACCAAATAGACTATAACAAATATTTTCTAGCATACAGTGAAGTGAAGAAAGAAGAACGAGCACAAGCAGACGTAGGTATAGTAAAGTTGTCCATAAAAAATTTAAGGACAATATAAATAATTGCTGTCATATCTCTGAAAGAATAATACATATGATCACAATCACATCACAATGGACTACCAAAAATTAAATGTCATATCTATTTAAAGCCCCGAGGACTGCAAACCTAAGGAGGAATAAGAGGAATTCTACGAACAATTGCAAACCATCCTGAATAAAATGCCTCAAAAATAGTTCTTAATTCTTATGAATATAGAAATGAAATAGTTTCAAGAATAAAACAAAGATTTAATGAAAACCATGACAACACAAATAGAGAACTCATGGCTAATCTCTGAGCTTTTAACGAACTGATAATCAATAATACATTTTTAGACCATAAGCTCCGGTATAAATATACATTTGAAAACTCCAGGGGGCATAAATATATGGTTGATTTTATAGTCACTTATAGAAAAATTGGCATTGAAAATAGAAATAGAAATAGAAAAATTATAGAAGGCATTGAAGGCATTGAAAGAAATGAAAAACAACAAATCGCCTGGAAAAGATGGAGTAACTACAGAGATGCTGAAATATGGTAGAAAAGTGGTAATTAATACTCTATATTCCCTTTTTAACAGGATATTAAAAGAAAAAAGAATCCCAAACAACTGGAAGGAATCAGTAACCATTATTCTACACAAGAAAGGGGATAAAGCAGATATAAAAAACTACCGTCCTATAACACTCCTCAATGTAATGTATAAACTCCTAACAAAAATTTTAACCAATAGATTGACGACAAAATTCGATGGATACCAGTCGAAAGAACAAGCTGGTTTTAGAAAGGGATTCAGCACAAGTGACCATTTACTAAGTATGAAAATACTTATAGAACGAGCAAATGAATACCACATTCCTCTATATATGGCGTTCATAGATTTCGAAAAGGCTTTCGACAGTATCGAACATTGGGCCGTGAAAAGTTCTTTGATTAACAGCCGAATTGACCACAGATATACGGAACTAATAACCAATATATATAAGGAAGCCAAAACAAAAATTAAAGTATATGAAGGAACAAAATCATTACAAATAAGTAGAGGCGTGAGACAGGGTGATACAATATCACCGAAACTTTTCAATCAGGCTCTTGAAGATACTTTTAAAAGATTAGAATGGGAAAAAAAAGGTATAAAAATTTGTGGACAACGCTTGAACCATCTAAGGTACGCTGATGACATCGTATTGATAACCGATAAAAAAGATGAATTATTTGAAATGATGAAAGAACTGGACGTAGAAGCTGGAAAGATAGGCCTTAATATGAATTACAGCAAGACCAAAACTATAACAAATACAGATGAAGACATCACAATGAGAATCGGACAAGATGAAATAGAACAAGTTAAGGATTATATATATATCTTGGTCAAACTATAAAACTTAACAAAGAGAACCAAACAGCAGAGATCAAGAGACGAGTTAGACTGGCATGGGCGGCATTTGGCAAACTAAGCTACATTCTTAAAAACAAAAGATATCCACAGCATCTTAAGACCAAAGTATATAATCAATGCGTACTCCCTGTTCTTACGTATGGCTCCCAAACGTGGACATTTACAAAAGCAAACATGGACAAAATCATAAAAACCCAAAGAGCAATGGAAAGACAAATGTTGCACATAAGACTAATGGATAAGAAGAGAAACGAGTGGATAAGAGAGAAAACAAAAGTGAGGGATGTTAGACAAGAAGTTGCAAAATTGAAATGGAGATTTGCCGGACACAATATAAGACAAAAAGAAGACCGATGGAACAAAATTCTTATAAGTTGGAGACCGTGGGAATATAAACGAAGCAGAGGAAGGCCCCAAATGAGATGGGCAGATGATATCAAGAAGCACGTGGGCTCTAGATGGATGACTGTTGCGACAGACAGAGAAGAATGGAAAAGGATTGGGGAGGCCTATGTCCAAAGATGGACCGAAGAAGGCTAACTAGATATAGAAAAATTCACTCAAAGCAAATTCTGGATATCCGAACTTTAAACTCAGCAGACGCAGGGAGTGAATAAAAACTAGTACTAGCATAGATAAAAATCGAAATAAAACCAAAACATTTTTTACAGTAAATCACCAAGGATAAATTTAATCTACAATCACTGTGTAACGACTCTACAAGAGAAATGTACCAAAGGAGGCTAGCATAGAAGATACAGCTGAAAGAAATAGACGACATCGAAGATATAAACGTGAGCTGAGAGGAAATTAAAAACAACATTGAAGAAGCAGCACAAGAAGATCTAGGGAAACCAAAAGTCATACTAAACAAACTAAACAACAACAATACACCATGGTTCAGAAACTAAATAAAAGAGAAATGTAAAGAGAAACGAGAGGCCTACACGAAGTAAAAAACATCAAATACCCAGGAAACCCGAGAAATCTATAGAAGAAGACTAAATAAAACAAAGCAGTTGGTAAGAAGAACAAAAAAAAACAAACACTGGGAACAGTTTACACAAAGCATGGAAAGCGACTTCTACGGTACACAAAAACAAATATGGAGATTTATAAAAAACCAACGGAAAGAAATCGCAGAATTGAAGAAATACAATAACATACCAGCAAAGAATGGGAAAGAAACCTAACGAAACTATTTAAAGTTAACCTCAAGTACCTCAGTTAAGACACGAAATAGAAATCAGTTCATTAGAAACCAATGTTCAAAAAAGGAGATAAAGAAGACCGCAATAATTATAGAGATAAATCTACTGAACACCACACTTAAGCTTATCACAAAAGTCCTAACCAACAAAATCAATAAACTAACAACTTTATCAGGTGAACAAAAAGGATTCAGATCCGAAAGATCCTGCGTAGACGCCGTATTTGTACTAAGACTAATCACAGAAAAGGCCATCGAGTACAATAAACCAGCATATCTATGTTTAATAGACCTATCAAAGGCTTTCGATTGCATCCAAGTCGAAGACGTCTTACACCAACTGTATTAAAGAAACATACCAATCAATATTATACAAACTATCGAAAACATCTACTTCCATAATCGAATAAAGGCGGTACAGGCTTCCAGTATAAAGCGGAGTCAGGCAGGGTAACTCGTTAATCCCACTTCTTTTTATTATAATAATGGACGACAAGCAGTACGTAAAAGTCATGGCTATATGCAACAAAAAAATGCAAATATTATGTTATGCAGACATAACATGTTAAAAGAGTTATCAATGAAAACGGAAAGCGAATGGTGGAATTCTGCACATCAAACGAACTGGGAATAACCAACACATTTTTTTATCATAAAACTCAACACAAATACACGTTTGAAAATACAAGAGGACATAGATCAATGTTAGATTATCTGGTCACAAAGAGAAATATTCGCCATAAACAGATAGTATGCAAGACACAAAAAGGATGCAAGAGTGTCAAGATACTTGTAAAAAACCAAAATATTGCTAGTGGAATTAAAAGTAGCTGAAGTTATTGTTTTATTTTTCCGGTATCCGCACTGGTTTATGGCAAATAGTTTATAAGATTCAAAATGTAGAATAATTTGATTTTTTATAACTTTTTCATAAACCAAAAGAGAATAATACTAGGTAAAACTAAAGATTAATAAAAACAAAAGAAAAAATTTTCAAATTTAGTTTAAATTTAGAAATTAACAGAAAAACAATAAAATTGGAAGATATGGATATAAGGGTAATAAAAATAATTGGACTTCAGCAACACTAAAAAATGTAAGGAAGTTCCTACAAAAATTTTTTTTAATGCATCAAAAATTTCAAGTCAAGTTAATTTTTGTACATGCTGTGTATATCTATCATCTACATTATATACTACTAGAACTTACCAGAATTTTCATATTAAAGAACTGTAAACCGACCACTATTACTTTGGATTAATTCATAACATCTAGTAGACTAGTTTGAAACATTTCACAGAATCTAGTTTATATAGTAAGGAGTCGCAAAGAAATATAATTACAGACCCCCTCAACGTTTTGTTTTTCGAGAGCATTTTTTACGCACAAAAGGTCATCAGGGATAGGCGCGTCTTCATATTTGTTATAAATTCATCGTTTTAACGTTTATAATTTTAATAATCAGTATTTAATATTAATGGAATTAATTTTATGCTGTCTTAGATTATCTGTTTAGAGGATAAGAGACTTATGAGTCAAATGATGCAAATTTGTAATAATTAACATTTGTTGGGCGTTGGTGAGGCAATAAAGGCTCAATATCCGTTTTCTAACAGCATCGGTTCAAGGTACACAATCACGTGGTCAATAATCTATATACAGTACATGTTTGCGTATTTTTGGAAATAAAATAACAGCTGGTTTAACAGTCGTTAATTTATATATTGATTAAGTATAAAAATAAAGAAAAATAGTTTTAAAGACAGCATGTTTTAAAATTACAAAACCTCAGGGAATACGGGGGAGAAGGTGTACGTGTACCTTAGCTATCAATTCTTATAAATAAATACCAAAATAATTTTATTTATGTCTATGAACAACATATCAAAGTCGGAACCCTGGAGGCAGGGGTGCCGCAGAGGGCGGTGTTGTCACCATACCTGTACAATTTAAAGAGACAGGATCCCTGCTAAGTTTATATGCAGAAAAAAAAGCCACAGCAGTCAGTTCGAGAAATCCGAATCTTGCTGCTAATAATTTGCAAAGAGCACTGAAGAGATTCTTAGGATGGTACATCAAAAGTGCTCTGGTAGTATAATACCAGATATGTACTTTTTAGATATCTATACAGAGACTCTGCTCAAAAAAGAATACTAAAAAAATTGATGAGTGAGCCTACCAGATATTCAACGGGCTTCGAAACCACCCAAGCAGAGTACTTAGAGAGCTAACTAACTACGATAAAAACGCAAGGACGGTACATAGACAGACAAACCACTAAATAACTGGATATAGGGAAAATCAAGAATGAGATAGCCACACAGTAGTAAACTAACAAAATGAAGTAAGACAGAAAGAAACCAAAAAAACCCTAGTGCTTACCTAGCTTGGTTTTCGCGCGACATCCGCGGAAAAATTATACACGGTGGGTAAGCGGCAACTGGCGAGTCGGTACGCAACTCTGACGAGAGGATACGCAATAGATTTAGCTTTCTAAATGACTTACTGTCTACATCGTAAACTGACTTTCTTGGATATCAATTAGAATACTGTTGCAACACCACTCGATTATCATATCATTTAAAAGACCCGTAAGGTCTCTTATAACAGCCGCGCTGGCGGCCTAAGCCCTTCAGGCAGAAGAACAAGTATAGATGTTTTTCGAAAAATCTGAGCATCGAGGTCATGTGCGGCACACATGGGCTTGCTGGCCAGACCCTCTTGAAAGCCCAGCCGGCGAGGAGAACAAAATTTATTTTGACAATTCGGCGTCTGAGTGATCAAGTTTATACACTTTACGGGTAGAGTTTCATCAACTTAGGTTGGTGACACTCTGCTCAGGACCCACACCTTTTCCAAGGACCTAAGTACCGCAGTAAAGGTAAACTAACTTCTACAGAGTCAGTAAAGTAAATAGGGAGAAAAGTCGACATGCGTGCTACCCCTACAGTTAGGTGACCTAACCACAATAAAGTAAAACGAAGAGTGTCTCATGATCCAGGGCACTCTTAGTAATCATTCACTAAGATCGTGTTAGCCTCTCCGCGTAAGTTACAAGTTGGAGAGGGGTGGAGGAAAATTCTGTTGGTCAGGTAGGTTCCACTTCTTTAATGAACTGAGACCGGTTTGATCTTCGGACATGTGGATCACACAATCTATACACATGTTCTAAGTTACAGGGTTGATTACTTGTGTGAGTGTGTGAGTGTGTGTTTATTTATTTCTTCTCCAGCTGTTTCTCAAATACCTAGGCTTAATTTAGCATAAAAAAATATTTGCTAGTCTTAACAAATTATATACTGTTTGTTCTTATTAACAACCCATAAGTCTTATTTCTTAGAGAACAGTTGCACACCGCTTGCTTATTAACCTCTAGTATATTATCGTGTTTCTGCATTGACAAACTGCGTTGGAAATGTAGCTAAAATAAATATAATAACGGATATTTCGCGTATTCCTTTTTTGACCAAAATAAAACCGAGGACGAGGTTCTGAAGCGAATAGATAAGATGTCACTAGTACTGTTGGCTTGAATTCGGAAAGGAACACATGCTAGGGCCCTCTGGATTATATGCGCCATATGCTCTCCTGATCAGTCGCCTACCAACAAAACCTTCCATTCTTTGGACAAGACACTTTCGGGCGAGTTAAATCGTTGGATGAAATATTGGGATGCTTTTCGCAATCTGAAATACTGACAAAAATAACTGGAAACATATTTTTACCTGAAAGCGACAAGAACTATTTACTACACTGTACTGTAAAGAAACAAAATTATCGGATGGTAAAAACTGCAGATGAATATGGCCGGGTAAGAGGGGAACGTAAAAATAAAAGGAGTGTGTAGAAGGTCATATAAATGTATATATATATATATATATATATATATATATATATATATATATATATATATATATATATATATATATATATATATCCCGTTTATAGCGTAATCCGCCTTTGGGTTCCCGTTCGCCAAGCCTGTCTATTCTGCCAGTCTTCTTCAAATAGATTTCTTGCTGACATGGCTTTTGAAATTCCTTGCATCCATGTTGTTGGTGGTCGTCCTCGTTTTCTTTTCTCTGGTGGTACCCATTCTAATATTTTTTTTGGTAGTCTTTCTTCCCCCATACGTCTAACATGTCCGTACCATGTCAGTTGTTGTTTTTCGATGTCTTCTATAATTGATCTTTGTACATTCATTTGATTTCTTATGTCCTCATTTCTCACATGTTCTAATCGAGACTTTCCCGCTGCTCTCCTCCAAAAATCCATTTCAACTGTCAAGAGGTCATATAAAAGTACGTAATATAATTTTATTAAAGATCTGGCTGCAAAGGTGCCGTATATAAAGTCTTACAGTCAAGCTGAAAGAGGGCCATGACCGCACTTTAGGTAATTTTTTAAATCATGCCTCCTGCTCCTATCTGGTTCTATATAGCATCTTATTTTTTGTTAATATTTGTGTCATTAGGTTAACAATAACAACGAAGGCTTCTTTGTTTTGTATCACATTTTCTATCAAATTATGGATTATCGCTCTTAGTCTTGGTGTTAGGTTATTTTATTCACCTTGGAAACTAGTGCAAGCAAAAAGCAGTCTTTTACAATTACAATCTATAAACATCTGTAAAATTTAAAGGAGCCATGGCCGGTAAGAAATTATGTAAAATAGTAACTTAATTTTCTAAACCTACTTTTGAAACATGTTATAATATCGGAGATTATTAACTTGGTCCAATAAGCCTTATTTATAAGTTTTATTTAAATTCCTTAGCTCTGCAATGTTCACTGTGTGCTAATCTTTTATTTCCCTTCTATTTTGCATTAGGTTCCTTGTGCCTTCTGTAAGTTTTTAATTTTTCCTTGTTTGCTTAACTTGACAGTTTTTCTGTGCCTTCCTTACAGCGTCCACCAAGCTCTCGTTAAGTTGTTCAATATCGGTTTCATCGTCCTGAAGGTTTCTGTCTATTTCTTCCTGGTATGACTCCTCGTTGTATGGGGAGTTCATCGGTGTAGTTATCTCCAATTTTTACGATAGCAGTTTGATTAAAGTACAAATTTTTAATAACACGAATATCCTTGTCATCTATTCCGATATTTTTCAGTATTTGCATTAATTTTACTTGCTGTACTTTATCGATTGCCTTTTTAAAGTCCACAAAACAGGCAAATACATCTTTTCCTTGGTCACAGCATTTTTGCAATAGGATGTTTAGCGCACAAAGTGCCTCCCTGGTCCCCATAGCATTTCTAAAACCAAATTGGGTATCTTCAAGATCTTCTTCGCATTTGCGTCTAATTCTGTTGTGAAGTATTCTGAGAAAAATTTTAAGAGTGTGGCTCATTAGGCTAATTAATCGATATTCTGAGCATTTTCTCGCATTGAGTTTTTTAGGTATTGCGATAAAGATGGATTTGAGCCAATCTGCGGGAATCACTCCGGTGTTATATATTGAATTAAAAAGTCTTACTACTACTTTTATGTTATCATTCTCTATTAGTTTCAGCAACTCAGTTGGTGTATCATCTGGACCACAAGCGTTTCTAATTTTAGCATTATTTATAGCATGTTCTACTTCGTATTTCATAATTTCTGGGCCGCCAGTACAGTTTTGGTAGAATTCGACAATATTATTCCTGTCATCTTCAAACAACTCTGATATATACAGCTGCCATTCGTTTCTTAGTTCTTGCTCATTTACAATAATTTTGTTATTAGTGTCAATAAGTACAGAGGAAACTCGTTTTTTAAATATATTACTCATTTCTTTAAATTTTTTGTGCACATTAAATAAGTCGTGTTTAGATATTACATCCTCCATTTCGTCGCACCTTTCTCTCATCCATTTTTCTTTGGCTTATTTGATCTCTTTTCTTTGGCTAATCTATTATTACTAATGTATTAATTATTTATTAATTTCCAAAACAACTTATAGTATTTTATTATATTGCCCTTCCCTCATATTAATATTATTTTCAGATGACATGCAAATAATGGTTAAGTAATTTTTCTTATCCTTTACCGACCCTGTTATTTAAAATAACTAAGTTAAGTAATACTTGATGATGTTCCATTTTAAATGCGTTCACTGACAACTATTTCATTGTGAGGTGTGAGATGCAATAATTTATTAATCTTCCAATAGAATTAGCATGCGAATTGAAATATCTACATTTAGCAAAACTAAAAGCACTGTAAGGAAATTATTCATGATCATTACACCTACGCTGTATGTCCATGATTGTTTATTTCTAATAAGAGATTTGACTTTCCTTCTTTAGTAGGATCTTAAAATTGCCACATAA